CAAAAAATCCCCCGCATTTACTCATTCTCGTTTCACAGCAAACTGTGATTTTACGACGCGAATGCCGATTATTATTAAGATTTTAATAATAAACATAATGTGTAGAAAAATATCGTACATGTGGCACACCACGGGCTACCACCTCCGTTACGATTATACCTCCACGAGATGCGTGTGCACGCGACAATTATAAAATATGTTTTGTATACCTCTTCTACGGTGTATACCTATACGGTATAATACGTATATTATATACAGTTACCGGGTTATGGTGCGTCCGAATTAGTTGTCTATTCATATAGGTAGATGTAGGTACATAATATAATGGCAGTGTGTATAACTGCGGCGTACATGTTCACCGGGCAATATGTATACAAGATCCGTAACAACCCAGCACAACGACGTTCATTAATTTACATGACGTAGAAATCCGCACGCGTTTTCGACACATATGACCCCGTTTATATTATTATATTATAATAATACGTAGCCGCAGATAGCCTCGTTTTCGCGCCATGTCGATTTTGGGCATCGTGCGTGTGTAACGGTGATCACACGTCGCTGTTATAGATATAGCATTATAATAATATATCTTAGTGCGCCGGGCCGTGAATAAATACATAAAAACTATGTGTAAAAACAACGCGTATAATCGCTATTAGAATATTACGTGTCGTCTTAATCGAGAAAGATGATACCGTTTTTCAACATGAACTCGAAACGCAGCCACCGCTCGACTTGAAACCCTTGGAAGTCGTAGACGACGGCAATTATGATCGTAATGCTAATGGTTAACGTTAATGATAAGTATATCATAATAACGTAGGCATGGCGCGCAGGGAATGCATTCCGCGAGAGGAGTGCGTTTGGTTGCGGAACGTCGCACTGAAAGCGTTTTGCTCGCGAGTGGAAAAATCTCGACACAGCAAACTGGTTCGCGACCCACAGGTGTTTCAACCAGCGAACACCGCGCACCTATACATACCGCCGGGAACCGTTACATATACATCGACGTATTTATAATATGCAAATATGCGCGACCTTTCCGTGTATGTGTAACATTTGATCGTTCTTTCCCGTAGACAACACGATAGTATTCCAGATAATAATCAATCGATATCCGACACGGGGTAGATGAAGCCTAGCCGTTTATCGTCGTCGTCGTTACCATCATCAGCTGTCTCTTCGATCCCGTTCGACCCTCCGTCGTACTTGTATTATTTATTCGACTGTGATATTACAATCTATTAGGGGTTCCGATCTACCGGTTTTATACATCACCATCTGAGGAAACGCCTACGCACTCATAATTACTTACACGGCGCGACGGTATATCCGATACAAGTGTAGAATAAAACGCGATACTGTGTAGAGATAGTCGTACGATGTACGCGCAGAACATGGCTTCGTATCGGGTGTATTCGACTTGTGCATCGCGAATAGCGAATAAATGGTTTTCGCTTTATATCCGGCGCACCCCTTCCCTTCCCAACACTTAGCAACAGCGCGCATGTTGATCCGTCGGGTGGTTTTTTTAAACGTTTGCTACACTATTTAAATAATATATGATTATATTATATACGTATAAAGTCGTATAATATCTTGAGAATTTTAATTCGATTCGTCGGGTTTTCTTTTATGACTACCGTATAAAATATAATGCAATGTACCGACGTGTGTCCAAGTATATATTATTATACACATACTTACCCTATCAAATAATAAAAACCTACGACATTCGAACGTTAAAAATATCGACTTGGATTTGACGTTGCTGCGGTTAAAACTTGGACGGTCTTCAAATTATTATTTTATGTAAATACGAGACGTAAATGATTTTATTTAAATTCACTGTTAATATTTCTGTTTTGAGTAATCGTTTTATTTAATATATAGGTTCGAGGAAATAAACAGATATATTTTAATGTTATAATAAATATTTCCAAACATTTTTCCACGTTTAACTACTAGGTTCACGCAGACACGTTTACAATAATATTCTGCGCGTACACTAAAACATTTCGTCGTAGTAATATTACAATTAAATGGACACTTTTCCTTATTTTGTTTACACGTTAACAATTTTAATTACACGTGATTATCGTTAACGAATTTAATTAATGACACGTTCAAGAATGCTTTGATTTATGACGAAATACATATTTTTTTTCTTTAAATAATTATTTATATCCACGCGTACATCGTATGTGTTGTCATTACATTATAATTAAACGTATATTGTATTGTAGTTAAAATTGAATTTTAATTTATAGATTTAAAATAGTTTTGAGTAATTATTTTGTATCCACAACATCGTATAGGTATAACGTACATATTATTGAAATAGACAGTTGCGACGCCCATTGACGATCTCGTCTTATTCGTGTGCTAATTATAAGCATACTTCCATAAGTTAGTATTAATCGCCTAATTTCATTGTTTGAATATTACATTGTCATCAAATTTTTATAATTTATTCAATATGAGCTTTTACTATCAATGAAACGAGATCGATTTTAAATTCTCTTCCGATAACCATGCGCATGAAACTTGATGTATTTTAAACCGTTTTTTCCCATCGTTGTCGGAACAATGAAAGAAGACTCATGCGTAAATAACAAAGGTGATGGTGTTTTTTATTTCACTTGTTTGCCATATTTTCCTCTGAAACGCGTTAATTGCAATAATTAAGATCAGTAATTTTTCCCCAGAAACAAGAGGGGATTACCTTGAAAAATTAATAGAAATTTTGCGGCGTCGATTTCGCAAGAAAATATATAAAAAAAAAAAAAAATTATACACGTTTATCGTATGACTCAAGGCCGATCAAATTATCTGTACTTACATAAACTACGATATTCGCGTGGATTAAAATGTATATCGCATCGGGATTTTATTGTGGATGTTTGTAAGTGTATAAAATGGGAGGAAAAAAGAGGGTTGTATGTGAAAACCCATTCTCCGGCAACGCGTAAAAAACACAACATGATCATCGTGGCGAATACGTTTGCCTTGTGGACGACACGTGATGTATGCGGGATGGCAGAGAATTTCCTGAATAATGCGCGACATGTACGAAGTACATCTTGTTTGACGCACAATGACGTCCGAGTGGTTGACCGACTTGTTGAAATCAAAAATGTTCACGTGTGTAACAATAATAAAATAATTATTGAATACATTATAATGTATCTAAAATATAACACGTTTGAAATACCGTACTCGAATACGGATGATGGGCCAGGTTAAACGAAAATCGTCGGGCAGGATGTACAAAAATCCAGGGACGGTATGTTCGCGAGATTTAGTGTCACGTTTCCGTCCGTTCGTCGATCTCTGTCCGTCCGTCTCTCTCTCGATCTCACCCACGGTGTCTCAGCAGGAAGCTCATAGGATATATCATGTTACCGTATATGCGTGTACGTGTGTATGGTGTGTATCCTATGTATGCAGACTATAGGTATCTTGTAGATTTCTGGGAACGCGCATGCCAGAATTCTACAGGTTTTTCGGGGTTATATTATTATTATTTAAAATGCATACGTGATGATATCGCACATCGACCGACGGGTCATGAAATAATTGTGTAACGTATACCGGACGACCGCTGGGCCGTAACCGTAACGCGTGTATCATTAAAATACGTTCGCGACCGTTTCCAATACAGCGTGTATCTGATAATTGTTTAGCTTTTACGATCGTTCATACGATCACGATATCGTATACGCACAAGCACATCCGTGAACCTTGGCGTGAAATCGCCCACGTTTTTTCGTTAAACGCCAAAAACGGTGTCCCTGTACACGGTAAAGTAGCTGGTCAATGATATAATTACAAATCGCAAACATCGATAGTTGTGTGTTATAATGTTGCGTGCGAACGAGCGTTTTGTTTTTCAACTTTACCCCTCGGGGTTGAACAAAAACACCCAAGTGTTACATTTGAAAATCCCTACGAATGTGTCCAACAGCAATAACGTCTTGTAACATCTCGTGCGCCTGCCATTGAAACGGCTCAACAACGGACGTGTGTGCAAATATGCATATTTATGTTTGTAGCGTTTAAACGCGGCGCGTTAGTAGTACCCATCATGTTAAATAATACGCGAAGTAGACAAAAATCATCCGTTTAATCGTGTATCACACGACTTGCGTTCATCGTATTGTGTTAGAATTACTCGCGCCGGTGCACACTCAGTGTCGGGCAGATTTATTACGCGCAAGTAATAATATATAATATGTACGTGAGAACGCAGCGTGCGCGTATATATACAGCCGGTGCTATGTACGTGTGTTATTATATTTAGTATACCATAGAGGAGCTGTGCAGCGCAAAGATAACAACAACAACTGCAGTGATTTATCAACGAAAATATTATAAAAATTACCATCCCGTATTATTACACTAGTAACGCATAATAAATAATGCTGCGATCGAGTTATAGGCGCGCAACCTTCGACGGTATAATTATTGCGATGATAATTCCTGTTCCGAAGTATGCGAATAACTATATGTCCGTCGCCGTTTTTTTTTTTGTAAATCCCTTGCGCGTCTGGGGTTTCCGTATCCGCATGGATCGCGAAGCGAAAACTCGATTGGCCGCTGCACAAAATCATCTCGTGTATCATTCGAATAATGTGTACGTTCTTAAATGCGGTGTAAGGCATAGCTTATTATCAGGGATTTAAAAACGCTAATACCTGGTTCTTGTTAAAGTAATCCGCTAGAACTCTGTCGACCGTCGTTGACTTGTTATTAGGAACGACCTAATCCAGCAAATGACTAACCCGTAGCTGCATTTAAGAACATCGCGTAGTGTAGGTAGTCGTACTGCGGGGTTCGACGTCGTCGTACGGTCTTGTAGGTTCACGGTCAAGTCGCGCGAGCCCTCCGACGATCGCCCAACAACGTCATGTGTTAACATATGTTCTATAACAATATCACACGAAGGTCACAAACTACGTCTTGTATTCATGTTCGGTTTCCCGTTTGATTCACAGGTGCAAAGACTGTCTCAATACGAAACGTATTTCCAAGATTTTTTGAACGAGACCAGACCGGAACATGGAAGAGGCGCCGAGTACCACGATCTGTGTATGGTGACCAGCGCTGTTAAACAAGTGAGTCTCTTCATTACTATTTGTGTTTTACATTCTAATAGTGTTGTTGTTTTTTGTTCCTTCTCGCTATGTATTTTTATTATTCGTTCAAACGTCCTCCGCCGCGCTGCAACGAGACTCGTAGGTGTGTAATCCTCCTGACGTTTGCATCGGATCTGCGTCACCGTCGTCGCCACCAATAACTTCGGCGCGTACACAACGTACAGCGGTTATTGTCCACGCCGCGTAATAGTGAGACCCACTTTCTTCGGTCACCGCCGCACAAAGAACCATATCACTTTTTCTCTCGCCTACTATAAAAATATTGTTTTCAATCGAGTATAATAACGTCTCATTGTGCGGACCTTTGAACCGATACGCGCGCTCATTTCTTCGATAAAAACGACCCACTTGTATTATATTTATTATTATTATTACTTCGTTTTTTTTTTTTTTGATATCCGCCACAATGGAAGCTGTCTCTCGTTCGAAACGGATCTGCTGCGGCACACGATATTTTTATAATATATGCGCGCGTCGTATACATACCGTACCATCATTTATTCCTTAAAATCTCCATTGATGGAACGCGTTTTATATATTGTTGCGTACACAACAAATATACGGTACGCGCACGTGCACATTGTGCTATTATACATCATCGTTATAATGTATGCGGTCCGCCCGTTTCGCCATTGCTCCGATTTAAACAATGTGTATGATATATAACAACAATATATGTATGATATATAACGTAGAGCGTATAATTAATTATCATTAGAACGCTGCACGCAGTGGTTTGTACGCTGTAGCACGCGAATTGATTTTCGAGTGTGAACGACACCCAACGGTCACCGTGGTCGAAACCACACCCAAACCCGATACGATAAATCACATACCGGCAACGTGTGTGAACGCGCACTATGGTAACGGGCTCGTACGGGGGCTAAATGTGCCAAGGAGAGACATCGGCACCGCGAATCTGTAGAATGACCATATCGGTGCGGTGCCCCCGCGTTTTCGCTGCACTCGGCTACGTTCGTATGGGCGAAGAGGCGTTGAGACTTGAGACACTTGCGCGCGCGCTCGGGATAAACATCGACGTTAACTTAATGAATCGGTTAGTTTTTGGTAAACTAAACGTATTCTATTTTACGCGTTGCTGCTAGTTTGTTGCACTCGTGCGGTACAATTAAAAAACGATTTGTTCGCGTGTTTTCGCGTTTTCCGGCGCCATAAGTCGTTCAAGTCACTGTACGACAGCTATTATTGAGATAGTGATGAAGGCTATTGCATTTGCGTTCGATAATTTCAATGTAAATTTACTTATGCGAGCGACCCGTCGAACATCGATACGACAAAACTGCCAGGAAAACGCCGCGAGACGAATATATATGTAATACTACTAATATTATGTTTCTCCGGAGTTCAGTTTGTGTATATATATACATTTCCAAATCATAAGTATATAATATGTATACGCACGCGTTATTATAATCATCGCAATATCTTTTTACGCGTATAATATCTATGACTGGCGATATTAATATCTCGTTTGCGTTTATCGTGGACACCGATACTTAACATTTGCATACAATGAATTATACCTTAGCACTGTGGTAGTGTACACACATACACACATACATATGTATATATATTTAATGTACAAATAATGTCGTAGCAATATAACACATGTGGTATTCAAAATTTTTTTAACTCTAAACGAAAACAGAACATACCAGTGAGCATATTGATAAGTTCTGTTTTGAGTGCTGCATCGTATTCGACACGAATGAAGTACACTCCACGACGATATGCTTCGACTGTGTCTGTTTTCGCTTTTAATTAACTTGAAAACGCGTCAAACCCATTGTACTCGCACGGACAGTTTAATAATCCTATAGGATTATATTATATATATATATTATATATATAATATATATTATATATATATATATATATTTACGCCTTTGAATCGGTTTAATGACATTTGTGTATGTACATATTATGAAAGTTAGCTCCCTGCAAACCTGCATATAACGCTACCTGCATGTACGACAATCGCCATAGAACCGTATTTTATCAATTTCACTTCTAATTAAATTAAAATTGAAAAAATAAACGATCGTCATTGTTTGCATTGCAAATGAAATATCCTGTTTGGAATAAAAAACATTACAATAAATTTGTTGAAAAAAATATGTATTAATAAAAACAATATATGTATTTTCTTTTGCGCAGACAATAAAACGTGTTCATGAACAAAGTGACTTAGAACGAATTCAAGATGTATTTCCCAACGATTTTCTCAGACTGTATGACAAAGAAGCTCTAACAATGGTAAGCAAATTGCGTATATTTTGTGCATAAACTACAGTAGTCCAAATAAGATACCTACACCATATTAACACTACATTTATATATATTAATAAGTGTATAATAAGTTTAATAGTTATTCATTAGAACAATAACACTTGGTGTCAACAACTTTCTTCTTGTTATGCAATACTTAAAATAAACCTTATCAGTACTTAACAATGTTTGTTATCAGATCAGATTTTTTTCAAACTATTTTAATATATATATATAAGTATATGGTATAATTTAGTAAGGTTTATAGTAGGAAGCATATTATTAACTACAGACATTATCATTTTTTAAAACATTTGGTTTGTATCTATTCAAGACAATAGATATAAATTGGTGTTAATGATTTCGTATTCCATGCTAAATTTTACTGTTGTTCAAAATGTGTACGCTTTTTTTCGTTGTATAGAAGATGAAAGGACTAATCCGGAAAAGAGGAGGAACCGGCACTGCCGCGTTGAGAAGAGCACTATCGTCAAAATCTCTGCGGTCGGAATCGCCTCCTTCGACTCCTAACAAAATCCGTAATGAAAGCCCGAGGAAGTTCATAATGGAAACTCCCGTTCAATTCGTCAATGTAAATAATTATAATAGTATAATACAAACGTTTTTATATATTATTAATGTTCGATATCGTGTAACGTTATCTCGTTGTTTGTAGGGTGTACACTGTCAAGAACGCCATTTGTTCTTGTTTGACGATCTGTTGCTGGTGGCCAAAGCAAAATCCGGTAGTAACTTCAAGCTTAAGGATAAGGTCAGAATATCGGAGATTTGGCTCAACGAATCGCCCGCGGTGATCGACGAAGTGGCTGAAATTCCCAAGTCTTCGGACACGTCTTTCGTCATCGGATGGCCGACTACCAATTACGTTGCCGTGTTCAGGTTAGTGCTTACACCACACATACATCACACATCTCGTAGGACGTCCGATGGTGTCCACAATTTGTTTACTGTTGTGTATACTTGGGATGTGGTCCCTCAGCGGGGGACGCTCTCGGGTCTTATCATTAGTGACAAGAGGTTCTTTGAACCGACCACATTGTACGACAACGTTCCAAAAAAAAAAAATCAAAAAAAAACATATACATTCACATGTGTGGATATTATAATCTCTTACGTGTGTAAGTTGATGTATATAATAGTCTTAATAATAATATGCTCATCACCAGAACTCATCACTGGGACAAACGGCATTGTATATCGGAAAAGGAGGTTCGCTAACGGTACATATTATGTATAGTAAAGCGTATGGTAGACGTATAGTTTGCCGGCATAAACGCAGCTCTTAATTAGACAAAAAAACGGCCTATTGTTACCCATAGGTATATAACAACTTTTAATACGATATATATATATATATATATGCCTACGATCATTATACGATGAACAATAATTTTTATTATTAAATTGTGTATGGGTCACGGATGACGTCATGATAAAAAAAAAAAAAACATCAAGTACCTTTAATATACCTACGCGTATTGTGCTCCGATATAATATTATGATTGTTGATAAATTAATAAATTTGATTTTACGGTATTAAGTGACTAATAATTATGTGTACAAAATACATGTCTCAGAGACTTTAGGATTATTTTGTTGTTTAACAATACGTACCTACATTCAAAGTTGTTATAAAATTACAATTATGAGTATTATGAATAAATGTTTTTAAAAAACGGTATAGTAATCTGTTAAAAATATATCCAGGCTGATTAGTTTAAACTATTTCATTCAAGTGATTCGAAATTAGAGATAGACTCCCCTCCTTATCTCAATAAAATATGAAAAACTAAAAAAATATTCCTTTACAAATAAGTAAAATTATTTTTTGTTCGTATAGTCGTCTCATATGGAGTAAAAATTTGATTGATTCCACAACAATAAAATTAACACATAAATATCAATAACCGTATTGTTTGTTTTTTCGCATTTTTTATGCTAAGGTCGCGTCCTTGACGATCGGTCGAAATAATTATAATGATAATTGTATGGAATTCCCACCTGGAGTATATTATAGTTTTTAGTATATACACATGAGAGCTTTGAAGAATTTCGTCTTCTTGCGTGTACACTTTTTAATTACACAATAAAATAAGAGGAACTGAATCAAAAAAATCGTTGCATTTATGATTTATATAAAAAAAAAATATTTTTACCATGTACCTTCGTATACTTATAACCTAACCGAAATATACTTGACATTCACCTTAACATACTCACACACACACATATATATATGTTATAGCAATTATATGGGTAATATTAGCGTTTATGGGTACACTGACACATTTTTAAGCCTGTATACTTTTATTTGGCTCTGTATCGTTGTACATTGAAGCGAAAAACATGCCGGATCATGATAAATCGATATTGACGTTGTCGACACACAAATAAAAATGGCATTTTCTAGGACGAGTTGAAAAACGGTCATTTGTCATTATATAACTCGCTCAAGCTTATCAGCTCCGATTTAAGTGTGTGCGTTTATATTAATAATATGTAGTTTAGTGTAGTATATACAAGACCGGTTAGCGCTGATATTTGACGAAGTCTGAAACCCCAGATCGTTCATGTATTTTGACGTTAGTATATATTTACATAACATATAATTGGATGAATTTATCTTTTTGTGCGTATAAATATGTGTTTACTGGAAGAGACTATATAAATAAATATACACATTATATACATATTGATATATGCATAGATTAATAAATTAATTAATAGTAGTTTGGTATTCATAAATCATCCGTATTCCGTAAGTAGGTTATATATACATATGTATAACTTATATCATTAAGCCATAACTCAAATTAAATCTATTAAATGAGCAATATTTTGATTAAATATTATACTCATTGAAGTCTTCTTAGACTATTAATATACCTATTTTTTTCTTTTCATTTGCTTTTATTAAAAAAAAAAAAAATTACATCATTTATATACCTATAATTCATATATATATATATATATATATTTGTGTAGATTTATATTAATAACGTGATGTTAGAATAATATTTTTTTAATAAAATGTTTTTTTGAACTATCGAAAACATTATTCCGATAGTGCCCCTCTTATTTTTATTTATTTGTTTTCGTATTCATGCATTGTTTACACAAATAATATTAGTAGCTGTAGAGGTAGTGTCAATAGTTATACAGGTAGTCCATATGTTCAGTCTTCAGAATGTAGTTAAAGAAGTTAGACGTGTTTGTGTGTTTGTGTTCTAATTAGTGTTGTAAATGTTTAGTTTAGTTATAATTTTGTACAAAAACTATGATAAGACCTCATTCAACTGGTCAATTATATTTCACGTACAAGATTAAAATGATCTTTAGGTATATAAAAAAGTTTTTAACATTTGTTGGTTTCAATTTGGGATATGATAAAAAACTTCGCGTTAAACTTTTACCACCCGGCGTGGAAAGTGGGTGGAATAATAACGGTAGTTTTAAATACAAAAACTTTGGTGGAGAAAGTTGTTCGTAAGTAATCTTTTATTTTTCATTAAAAAATATTAAAAATTAATAAAAATTATTATAGTCATAAAATATTAATATTCGTCAATAGGTGTTATAATTATTATATTTGCACTCTTTGCAAAAATATATAAATTAAACTCAATGATTATAATAATTTATGCACCATGGTGTATATAATATATACATCATGTCGTAAGAATTTAATTACAAAAAAATTGAAATAGTTTTTGATAAAAATTTGCACACGCATTCATATTATTATTCGTTTTAATTAGTTGTTAAATTTATGTAATACAAGAATTTACATTTTTATATGTAACTTAAAAAATGAATATTTTTTTTTAATACCAAGCAAACTTATTATTTATATTATTTAACGATTGATGTGAATTTACTTACCGTAATGAAATTAAATTCGTTTAGATTAATTTCTCGTATGTTCTTGTGCCAAGTAAATATTTTGTTTGGTCTATCATTACAAAAATAATGTATAAATATTAGAGTGTTTACGGGTGGTTAAACCAAATCTTTTATCAACTATAGACATAAAATGAATTTATATTCTCGTACATTTTTGTACTTATTATCTGAAAAAATGCAAGATGCTTGTGTTGCAATTTTTGATACTGCAATAAAGAGCATTATTATAATAAACGTCTGGCGCCTTTTTATTTACTATACGTGGAACGCGTCTATTTATCGAGTACGGATTAAAATAATATTAGTATTTATCTCAAAATATTGTACATAATATTAAAAAACTGCTCTCGTCTAGCGAATCATAGTATATGTTAATCTTGGATCGTTGTTGCGTACAATATAATACGTTCATATTCGCACTAATTTCATCTAATATCGATAAATAATAATAATATGTATTATGTGTTTTTATGTGCAGTACCCAAGCCACCAGAAACTTGTGGTGGTCGAAATTGACGGAAGAATCTCAGGAAGAAATCCGCAAAGAACCTCCGACGACCAATGTCCAAGTGTTTTACCAAGATCTCACTACTGGCATAGAATATGTAAGTTCATACAAATATTGTAACGTTGCATTACCAAGATTTTATTATCCCGACGTAAGAAATCCAAAAAAATTGCCCACCCTTCGAGAGACACATCACCAGCGTGTTAGAGTGTACATCCTGCGTATACTGGCTAATAAATCCATAACATTTCGAATTTCATTATAAATACTTGCGCTACAAATATACAGCCTAATAACGTTGTGTAATAAGCTGTTTATTATAACCATAACGGGTAAGATTTACACACTTTTGCATGTATGTAACATTTTGTCAGCTGTAATTAAGACAAGTTAAATCGTGTGCAGGAATTCCACAAAAAAAAAAAATTCCCGTTTCTAGAAGGGATGTCGTATCTCAATTCTGCATATGGTCACGCCGATGCGTATTTTCCATAGTTATATATTAAGCGATTTTTTGATCAACTCCTACTACCTATGCGAGGGTGGGAGATATCCGTGTAAATAATTTTGTCTTATCTTTACGTGTTATTACAATCGTGTTATTGTTTTAGTGCAAGACATTCGCCATAGGGCCGGACGAGAGTGCCAGAGACTGCGTTAAAATCGCTTTGGACCATTTGGAAATGAGAGATGCGGACCCGAGCCAATATCAGTTATGGGCCAAAACGCCGCGGGAAGAGCCGCCATATCCGTTGTTCGGTCACGAGAAACCGTACTCCGTCAAGTTGAGCTGTCTGCGAGACGGGATCAGCGCAGAAGAGGGATTCGACCTGGATCACTGCAACAATGTGCACGACAACCCGTTGGCGAGATGTCATTTCATTTTAAGGTACGTCGTCGTCGGATTATTGTAATATTTTAATAAGAAACAAAATATAACGCATAAATTATTATTATTAGACAATTGTTATAAATATCGTTGTTCCCTGCCAGTTAGTTCCCTATCAATGTATATCGTCTAATTACCACCCATATGGGTATACATTTTGTTTTTACCTGCACTTCGGGATTATTTTATCGTCGCGGTAGATTACGTAACGCAAGAAATTCCTGAATTTTAAAAATAAACATCCATATATGTACGGGCTCTTCATATCATATTTTTATTAGCGACATAATAATGTCGTATATTGTATGATCGCCGCACAAAGTTCACTGCGTGCACAGTACTGCGCACGTGTCTCTTGTATTTAGTTCAATTTTGTATGTGTGCGTGACGCACATGCGTGTGTATGTGTCCGGCGTGTATTTGTATTGTTGTTTGGAGCAACGTCCGTTTTTTTTTTTTTTGCAGCGGTTTTTTTTTTTTTTTTGTTCTCTAATTTTGTTTTATGTGACATAAATAAATAATATTTGTTAGGTATAGTCAATGATTTAACGATGTTAACGATCTGTAGTCAACGCAGGTGATAATTATTGTTTTCATTTTTATTTTATTTTTGTTATATTCCATAAGTCGATAATTAATTATTTACTACCCATCGGGGCTAAAGTGTAATAAAAAAAAAAACTAATACAAAACTAATACACGTAAATATGCGATTGTTAATGGTTTGGTCGCGGTTAGTTTTGTTATTAAAAATAATATCTCCTATAAAACCGAGAGAAAAAAATATACCGTACGCAAACAAAGAATCTTTCGGTTTGATAATGTTGAATTTATTTTTAAACGTCTGCAATGTTTTCTGTTTTCCAGGAGTGTAAAAGCCCAAGAGAATGAAACAAACAAAAAGACCCCGAAAAAATCTTCTGGCCGTATGAAAATTGGACAAGTTTTCAAGAAAACTCCAACCAAAGAAAATGGAGGCAACTTATTTGGAGTGCCACTGAATCGAATTTGTGATGGCGAAAACCTTCCGAAGCCAGTTATGGTTAGTATATAGTACTATATTTTACCAATTCGACCGTAGCGCATTCTCGAGACATTATCTTTTTCGCATTTACTTAAATGTAAATAACTTAATTATTTACGAGACATTATGTAACGTCATGTTTCTCACGCCAAGTATAAAACGTATGAATGTTAATAATTTATAAGTAACATGAATAGATCGACTATGATAATATTTGTGTACAAAAAGTGATTTCTTTTATCTTACTATTGAACAAATTGAGTACCTATGTGTGCGTACAGTTTAAATCCGATTCCTGGTTGTGAACGAATCTCGTGGTGTAACAATCATAGCTTATATCGACAATTAAAAACCAATAAAACCTATTTCGAAAGTTATATTTTTTTTATTTTTTGTTATAATTTATTTGTTCGAAAACATTACGGATAGTGCTTCTTTTTAATTTGAAGCATCATTAAGTGTTTAATTGAACATTTAATTATTAATATTTATAATGATATTGATAGTGCATCATCTTTCTTTTTTTCTCTTAAAATAATTTTGTTTACCAACTTTAATATCATTAAATAATGAGGCAGTGACATTCATAACTATATTTATTGACTGTATAAAATAAATACTTAGTATTGTAAAGATGCTATGATTATAAGCAGTGCTATCTTATGGTTCCATGTGCCTGTCTCTTATGATTCCGGCTAAATGATAATTTAATTATATTTTCTGATTAGCACGTCAGTTTTGAGATACTCGTGCAATCCTGAATAATAGTTTTATAATGGATTTAAAACACCTAATCAAATAATTAATTTTATCGCATGCATAACGATTACTAACTTAAACTTATACGGAAAAGTTTGGATCTCATGGTGCGTCCTTATGTTTACAGGCGATGTTGCATCAAATATTCTCCAAAGGTCCCTTTACCCAAGGAATATTTAGGAAGTCGGCTAACGCCAGGTTGGTGCGTGAACTGCGCGAGAAAATGGACATTTGCGAAGACGTTTGCCTGGAGAATGTACCAGTTCTCGTCACCGCTGCTCTGTTCAAAGACATGCTGCGCTCTTTGCCCGACCCTTTGCTGTGCACCAATTTGTTTCCGAAATGGAGGTCAGCTCTGGACAGCCCCAACCTGCACATGAAACTTTTCAGAATCAAAATGTAAGCATCTGATTTCGTGTAGTGTACTTAACAATTTTCGTCGGTGGCCTCGATTTATCGCTTGGCCGTATTATTATGTTTGACGGATTTTTCATTATAATATTGTCATTGTTTTCGTCTTAACAGGATTATTGATCAATTGCCCAAACCGAACTACCTTCTGCTGTGTCACTTTCTGTGCGTCTTGTACCACATATCTCGGCGTTCCACTCACAACCTCATGTCGGCCGCCAACCTGGGTGTATGTGTGGGACCGTCACTACTGTGGTCCGACTCACCGGCCATGTGTCCGACTGAAGACTTGCGCACCGTGCCCGCATTGGTCGAGATACTGATTGCTCACTGCGAACTGCTTTGCGGACCACATGTGCCAAACCTGTTGGGTGACCCCCGAGATTCCGGTACCGAGGAATCGGATTGTAAGTGTTGTTCGAGCCGGTATTCGTTAACGCCCACAGGTGTGATATTGATTTTTATCAGGGGGTAGAGACGATAGGGGTTGAAGAAGAAATGTGCTTCGAACACTTTCTGCACGCACGTAAAATACCATCTTGAAAATTTGAATACTGCGTTCGTTACTTTCGCCTGTCAGATAAAAATATGAATTAATCGCAATTTTTTTTTTTTTTATTGATATTATTCATGTACGCCACTTAAACTTAATTCGTTGGCAAAAATTGTTAGTTTATCGTTATCGTCGATGTAAAAATAATATCACTTATAAGAATAATGGAACGATTTTATGGATTGCGATGGTATATTTATATTTACGTCCTATCGGTAAAACTATATTCGCACCCGTGGTACGGTCGATCCCTTGTATCGTACTAATTTTACCCATATCCGTGGTTGTACTTTAACAACGGTCGTTTTTGCCCTCGCAGCGATGAGACGGGACGACAGCTCCATAGACAGCCTGGAAGTGAGCCCGCCGCCCAGGAAGGATCAGATATCGTTGAGCCGGGACTCGGGGCTGACGCTGTCTGACTCGCAGCTGTACACACCGGACGAGGAGGAGAGCGGGTCAACCAGTTCCAGCGGATACGATCCGGCGTTCGACCAGGCCCACTCAACCAAGGCAGTGCCGCAGCCGCCTCCGCCGGTGACACCGACAACGACACCGACGACACCGACAACGGCGGCAGTCGCGGTGCCTACGATGACGGGTGATTACGTGCGCGTATACCCGGGCTGGGAGGACCGGAAGAACGTAAGCTTCCAACGGCAGGCGTGGTTCCGGCAGCGGTCCAAGCGGCTGACGGCCACGGCCAGCAAGGAGGCGGTGCGCCGCAGCGCCTCGGAGGAGTCCGTACTGGACGGCGGCAACGTACCGCCGCCGCCCACGCCACCCAGGCGCAGCAAACCGGCTACGGCCGCGGTTGTGCAGACCAACAGCGGCAACCTGGTGCCGGCCCCGCAACAAGACCACCAGTACCGGAAGATGAGCGCGGCCGACTATTATAACGTGGTGGTGGTCAAGTCGGAGGTGGTGGTCGACTCGTTGTACCCGAACAATTACAGCACGGAGCTTACCATCAAGCCCGTGACCGCGTACGATGACGACGAGCCCACCCCTTCGCCGCCGCCCCCGTCGTCGACGGTGCGGCGTCCCTCCGAAGCGGTCGAATTCCAGAGTAGATACCGGCATCGCGTACAGACTGCAGCCCGGGAAGACTGCCGCGGCGACGATAACGAAGAGGACTCCAGCACGCTGTCCGACGAAGACTGTACGCCGCACGTGTCTCGGAGTAACTCGCGCGGCAACGAGGTGGTCGCCGACTCGCTAAAGCTCAGGCAACATCAACCATCGCAGCCGTCGTCGTCGGCCGTACAGCAGCAGCAGCAGCAGCAAACGCCTCCCGCGCACGTGGACGGCACCGTGGTGCGGCTCCGAGGGCGGTTGAAGCGCAAGGAAGAAAAAGCCGTGGTCTCCGCCTCCCGTTCCCGGTCCCTTCCGCCGCCTCCGCCGTACCGCCCGCCGCCGCCAGCCAACCGTCGCGCGCCCATCACCTCGTATTACCTGGGCGAGTGCAGTCAGGCGCAGCAGCAACGGTTCGTCGTCACCCGCACGTACGCGGACGAAGAGTCTTACGTTTAACGCCGGCCAACAGTCGTGCTCTGTGTGTGGGTACTCGCGTTTTGTAAATAATATTTTTATCATTTTTTTTTTCCCCCATCATCATTATTATTATTATTATTATTATTATTATTATAATTATTTACCCTTGACAATAAAATATAAAACTACTTAAGTTACCTGTCGACTTAAAAAGATAGATGGGCGCCAAGCTGCTGATATTACCGAAGTTTTTTTTTTTATAATAAAATGTTCCTGATCCATATATTAATATTATTATTATTATTATTATTATTATTATATGATGTTAAGTCTACGCGCCTACGCGTTTAATTATTATTATTATTATTATTTTTTTTTTTTATTATTATTATTATTACTTTTCATATGGAGTATAATTTTATTTTATTTTAAGTTTTTTTTTTTATTACACTTATATGTGTAGCATGATAAGCAAAATGTATTCAAAACGCTCATTGTAACGATCAAATAATCTAATGTTAAGAAAGTTGCACGAGTACAAACGTCGTCGTACCTACACACAACAAATATCAGTGTTGTTGAAACTAAGATGTTAATTATGTCACATCTTCACTCAACACAATGCCATAGTTCAATACTTATTGTTATTTTTTAAGTTGACTGTAATAACATTGTGAAGCACTGTGATCTAAAATATGTACAGTACTGCATATGTTATTATAAAATTTTAATTTATATGGCTATTTAATAATTTATCGTATCACATAAGGGTAAAACAAGAAAAATTAAATTAAAAAAATAAACCCCCCACAAAAATTTCTATGCAAACTATTATACTGAAGTAACATTTAATATTTTTATTTATATGTATTTAATTATATAATGAATTGAAATTTAGTATTCAACATTTACTAAATTTGTGTATCCTTAAAGACTAGTTTTAATTTTTACCGAACGCTATTATATATTTTATATATATATGAATGTGACAAATAATTTTTTAAACTATATTTTTTGATGTAACATTAAAATGTTGAAACGTTAAGTTTTCTAAGTGTTTATTTATTTTTGTTTGTACATTTCCATTGGTTTTTATAAAACATAATTAATAATGTTTACTCAAAATCATGTCATATTATATTATCGTGTAAAAATATAAATATAAAAGAAACACTATATTTTCCGATGTTCATATAAAATGAAAATAATAAACTTTATGTAATTTTGTTTAAAACGTGTCATTTATTAATAATTAATTTAAGATGTCCATGGTCTGACTTAATTTAGTGCCAAAAAATAATATCAAGTTTTAGTGGTTTTTCTAACTGATTAAATTCAAATACATGTAAAAATGTATAGTACTATGTTTACAAATGTTAATAGTTCAGTAATTAATCAGTATATATTAAGGGTTTAACAGTTTCTAAAATGTCTAAATCTCAAACTGTATTTTTTACTTTTGTCATTTTAATAAAAATATAAAAAAATAAATGTATTACAAGAATTGACTTAATAGTTTCATCGTTATAAATTGTAATTTTACCTCTGTGCACATGTGTTCAACCAATTAGATTTTAAATAAACCGTCATCCACAGTTATAACTCAAGTTCAATTATTGGTCAGCCTCAAATTACTAAAACCAAATTGATTTATTCTGTGTTGAATACAACTAATCTAAATTTCATATTTATTTTAATGGAATGAAAACCTAACAATATAAATTAAATTATATTATTGTACAAAACTTTACACTTAAATTTAAATTAATTTAATTTTTAACTTATTATATTATTATATATTAATTAATTAACTTTAAATTAAAGATAAATTAATTAATTTGAAATTACTAAAAATGCTCAAGTGTAGTGCTCACCATTATCAATAGTGATTTAGAGACCTTTGTCTAATCCTACCTACCTAAAATGTTATTTTCGCTATCTAAATAAACAAAATATTTCTTTAAGTCGTTATGATTCATGAGCTCTTGGTTTTTTAAATTGTAATAAATAATATGAACTTTCATGCTTAGTTATTTATAATATTTTCGGGTTCGCCTGTTAAATATAATCTGACTAATTATCTCTAAAAAACTCTTATGTAATCAAAATAAATAGCTATGTAGATAACTTGCATTGATAATATATTTTTATTTATTAATAATTTGACTCATAAATAATTTATATTGTATAAAATCTAATACAAATTATTCTAATGTTAAAAAAAAATTATAAAAGAACAATACTAAAAACATAAATTATAGATACTTAGTAATTTTTTTTAAATTATTTAGAAATTAATTACTATGACATAAAGTTGTTAAAACTGCAGACATAGTGGTAGGTAGTTTGAATAAATTATTAGGCCCTTATATTTAATGTCACAAATTTGAGCACAAAAAGTATTTGATATTTTTTCTGTGTAAACAATAAATATTTTTATAACTATGTACAATGATATGATACAGAGCCTCTGCTATCCCCTTCCATATGATTATAAATGTTAGTAATAATTATTAGTCATTGTTCTATTTTATTAATTAAATTGCACATAATAATTAGGTATTAACTACCAACTTGTTATTATTTTTTATACTAAAAATATACTTTTGTCTGGTATAAATCTGAAGACTATTTACAAATTATATAAAATAAGTTATTCAGTTATTTATATTCTTTGATGAAATATAGATTTGTGAATTATATTATATTGAATCATATAAATCAATTACAATAAGCAAACGTAATTTACAGTACATTATAAATATTATTTAAAATCTATTCTGTTGACTTACATCAAATTTTTAAAAATAATTTTATCATTTGCTATTATGTATGTACATAGAATATTAAATTAAATAAGCATTATTATTTTTATTTTATAGAAAGTATTGATTGAAAACATTTTTTTGTGATAAAACAACAATTGTATTTGGTGCAATAAGTGTGACATTAAAGAAACGTTAATAATTAACGTATTATTATTTGTTAATGTTTCAATTATAGAATAAAATAAATGTCTAAAAAATGGTTGAAAAAATTAAAAAACTGTTTAACCCTTTCAGTCCCTATGGCCCCCACAGAGGACATTCTTTTGAAATAATTCTGATATGGTTAGAAAAAGGTTATAATAAATAAATAATATTTGTTTGCCATGCTAATAATGTAAGGAATACAAAAAACATAATATTTATAATGTGAGTCTTATAATGTATATTTTATAGTAAAAAATGTCTCCAAAAATTTTTGTCATGAGTTTTTGAAATAAATAGATAACAGAAATATTTTTTTCTAGTGGATGAAATGGTTTTAAAAATCTGAAATTTTTTCTTTGATAAGATAACATCATAGTCAATATGTACGAATGACCATTATTTCCCCAAAACTAGTATCAGTGAAGTTATAACAGCTATTATGTATGTCCCTCGTAAGAGACATTGGGCTGTTATGGAGTCAAATTATGATAAAATATTATCATTTCTATATATTATCAAAATACGAAATAAGTACATATTAATTTTTTTTTTACTCATTTTTGATGCAAAAATGCCCCATGTACATTCAGAACACATGTTTATTGTGACAAATGTAATATACATTTATGTGTCATTCCTGGGAGAGAATGTTACCGTCAAAAACATAGAAAGTAAAAAACTAAAACAATTTTTTATTATTTTTATAACTATTTTTAATTTTTATTATTATACATGACCTAGTCAAAAGGGATAAGACTGTTATGTTAATTTTTTATAATTTAAATACATAATAAATAATAGCATATAATATTTGTTTTTATTCTAATTATGACTGCGTAAGAACCCAATGTCCCTCACAGAGGACAATCCAATATCTCATTAGGATATAACCAAAAAAATTTTTTAAGAATTTTTTTAGTATATTTATACCCCGTTTACTACATATTTAGTAAAAAAAAAATTCTTACTTGAAATATTTAATTCTGGGTCTGAAAGGGTTAATCCCTCTAAATTAATTAAATCTGAATAATATTTTAGTATTTGGTTGAAATTAAAATATTATTAACAGTCAATAATCGCGAATTGTCCACAGCAATGGATTAATTTCATTGTTTATTATTCTTTTGATACTTCACTCCTGTTTTAGCCCTCAACATAAAAGGTACACACTATTTTTTTATGAAAAAAAATCAAAAACACATACTATGGATTGATTTTTTGGATATCAAATTTTAAGTATTAACTTGTTTAATAAAGTGTTATTATATCAATGTTCTGAAATTGCATTTTGTAAAACACAAATACAGTGCAACTTTCCTAAATTTATGTCTAAGATGGAGTATAGATAATACAGAAGTCGATGCTGAATGTTCAACTTTGAACCAGACTCAAATTGTGTATTGCACTGTTTTAGGAAATTAATTAATTAACTGAATATTCATTTTTTTTAGCACATTCAAATTTTAAATAAATATATTTCAACATTTTTTCCATAAATTTAACTTATTTTTATTAAGTTTATTCATGCTTTGTCCATTTTTGATAAATTTTAAATTTCCATTAAATAAAATATTATTTCATATTATATTTATAACTAAAATATTTTTTTCAATCATTATTTTATAAGATAAATTTTTTACATCTAATAAAAGTCAAAAATATTAAAATATCTTTTAAATATTATAACAGTGTAAAATTAAAATATGAAAAATATTTTATCTTTCTATTTTGAGTGTTTAATAATTAGTTGAATATACATGAAATTACAAAACGAGTTATGTAAAAATTCTATGTTGAAATCTCATACTCAAATCAGTATTAAATATATTTTCTATAGCTTGTATATCATAATTTTATTTTTAGTTTTTATAAATTCTATCATTTATAGAAATACCAATCAATTATTATTTCAATAATTATAAATAATTTTAAATGAATCTTCTATTCACGATTATTCACAAAAGTAACTTAAATATTAATTGATTTTTTCCTCGAACGATAAAGTATTGAAACTATTCGTAAATAGTAAAAAACCTATTATATGGTATTTTTGCATTTCTAAAATTTTTTTCTAAATAAAATGATAAATCACCGGAACTTATACATATAGTATGATAACAACAGATAATTGTGTAATAAATAACATTCAATGCAATTATTTAAACAATGATAATAATGAGTTGATTATAATTTTTAATAAGTTATAATTTTATCTCATAGATAATGACGGACTATGACGTAATTACAGCGGTACGTCGTTTAATGTCGCGAGTCCAATCTTACTGTCAATCAATACTGTAAATAATACGTGGATTATTCTTGCCGCTCCCTCCGCTTTAGGATGAGG